CAGAGCTGCCAGATGAAGGGAACAGCTAACAAACAGGGGTTGAATTGGGAGTAAAGCCACAGGTGGATGGTGAATGGCCCCTCCCATAGGGAATAAAAGAGGAGTGAAAAGGGGAGGGGGCTTTTGCAGGAAACAATTCGTTCATTCGTTCCTTTCAGGAGTGTGAAGATCTGTCCGTGAATCTCAGAGACTCTGTGCCCAGCCTTTCCTGGCACAGCCCCCTCATTTGGAAAATATTTACATGGCAGCTTTCCAATCTAGATAAGGTCTGTGGTCATAAATACTCCTTTGAAAGACTGTTTGCCAGGCCTTGGCTGAACGGGAATGAGAGGAATTCCTCATTCGTTTAACAAAAGGGGTTTTGTCGGGACCAGGAATCTACCTCTTGCTTTTTGGGGAAGCCTTGGTCAGAACAAGCCTAACCTGAAGTGAGTAAGCAGCAGCATGGACCACCTTCATTGGCAAGGAAACCCTCCAGAGGAGGGTCAAGAGGCGGCCAGCTTCTTCCAAGTTCTCCTGGACCGCCTTGAAGGTGGCAGACAAACTCAGAGGAACCTGGAGAAAGAAAGAAAGAAAGAAAAAAAAAACCAAGAAGATGAGAAAGATTTTCTTACCCTGGGAAGGGGGGTGGGAAGGAAAGTCATCTTGAATTAATGGCCCAAATCCAATTGGCTACAGTTTCGGGAGGACTGATGAGCGTGAATATTTTGCAAGTCGGGCAAAACTAATTTATTCAGTTAAAAAGGTAGCGAAATTATGTATTATTATTCAAGAACAGGAAAAGGGGGGGGTGGCTGTCGCAGGAGCAGGAAGGCAGGCTAATCAATAATGGTAATTAATAATGGGTTACATTTACTGGGCTCTGTGGGAAAACACACAGCCTCCCTTTCCTCTCCTGTTTTCATTCCACGTCTCATCATTTGAAAGTCAAAATGGGCGATATAGAGGATCCTCCTTTAGCAGACACGCTAAATGGTTCCATTTAACGGTGAGCAAGTGATCCAGAAACGAGGCAAAATGTATTCCTCGGCAGACAAATGAGAAAGAGAGAGACAGAGACAGAGAGAGACAGATGGAGAGAGAGACAGAGACAGAGACAGAGAGAAACAGAGAAACAGAAAGAGAGAAATCAGACAGAGAGACAGACGGAGACAGAGAGAGAGACAGAGATGGAGACAGAGATAGACAGACAGACAGACAGAGAAAGAGACAGATGGAGAGAGACGGAGCGAGAGACAGAGACAGAGAGAAACGGAGAGAGAGAGAGAGAGAAATCAGACAGAGAGACAGACGGAGACAGAGAGATGTGGAGAGAGAGAGAGAAATCAGACAGAGACAGAGACAGAGAGACAGACAGAGACAGAGGGAGAGAGACGGAGAGAGAGACAGAGAGAAACTGAGAGAGAGAGAGAGAGAGAGAGAAATNCAAGTTGTTTCCACCACAATTGCAAGTTTTGCTTGTTGCCTTTTTTTCTAAAAATAAAGTTCATTAAAGATCTGCAGATGTGCTGCTCTATGCTAAATTATGTTTTAAAATTAAGTGTTAATTGTGTAAATGTTCACAGTTGTGTGTGCACACTAGAAATAGCTATTTTGAGAAAAATCACAAATTTTCTGTCCATAAATCTCTCCCCTCCCTTGCAAAAGAGCACTCGGAGACAACACCTTTTCTTTCAAAAATAAACATTTTGCTGAGCCCAATAATGCAGGTTGGTTTGCTTTCGTCCCATCCAATGGCTTTCCTGCGCCTCCTTTCACACTCACTGTAGCTGCCAGAACTATTCTGGGCTGGCTGGTGAGCTAGCAGGCTCCCTCCCTTTCTCCTCCACCTCTGGATGCCACGTGCCCCTCTCAGAAAATGCAGAATTAAAGCAGTCTGCAATTAGCGCGGAGAAGCCCCAGCTGCCCAAAAGAACAAGCATAAAGCAGGTTAGGGAGCTTGGCAGGAGAAGAGCCTCCGAAGGGAAGGGGCAGGTGCCCTTGTGTGATTCAGGCGCCAGGACATCATCTGGCTGGCACAAGCCTTTGTTTCCCCTTCATTACGGGGTCTTTTTGTACCTGGATCTTGACCTCTTTCTCTGGTTCCCAGGAACGTCTTGCTCACCAGTTGGCTGTGATCATTTTAGTGTGCGATTCCAAAATGTTTTTGCAGTTTGGTCTCTTTCTCCCTTTCGCACACTGTAATTTGCAATTAATTTTGCTCACTTTTTGCTGGATAGACATGACACACAAAAGAGACTAAAACCCAGGTACAGACGGAAACCCAGTGCCAGCTAGAACATCTTGCATGAATCACCCCATCTTTCTAAAGTATTCAGTGTTTCTCAACCTCGGCAATTTAAGAGGCATCGACATCATCAATCCCCAGAATTCCCCAGCCAGAAAGCCAGGTTAAAGTCTGCACCTCCGGAGTCTCCGAGGTTGAGAAAGACTCTTCTAGTTCATCTGATCATGAGAGTTTGTTGTGTACACAGCCACGAGTGTTTCACTGAACTTGTTTAGGGTTAGTATGCTGTGTGAATGCTCTTGCTTCTGCTCAGGGGCTGTTGTCATGCAATGGGCTTAAACTGTATCAGTGAAAGAGCTGGTAACTGCACTGGCATGACATACTAAACTAGGTTAGTTTTAATCTTGGTTAGTTGTTCATAGCTTTGTACTTCATGCAAATCTGCCCTTTTACTTGTTTATGATTAAATGCATTGTGTGACTTCAGGATTGACACATTCATGCAAACAAAAAGATGGACCTTGTTAGATATACTGTAGGTGTTTCCTCTGAGTAAGAAAAATGGACTTCAGCCATGCTCACAACACTTCCTCTTCTACAGGGCCTCTGTAAGAGACACAAAATAAACTGCAAAAGCTCAGATACCCAAAACCTTTTTCTGCAGATAATGAAGGTTGGCCTGCATTTTCTAGCCACAGATACGTAAATCTTTGAATATTAAGTCTCTGGATAATGAAGGGCACCCAAATATAAATAAACTGGAATAGCAATTTCAACCTTTTTCTTTATCCTGGATCATAAAATTGCCAAATCAAAGCCCCTATGACTCAACAGTGCTGGAACCAGTTACCATTTCCCCATTTTTCAAGTCAAAAGAGAAAGTCACTGAACAGAAGACATTAACGTGCCTTTGCAGCCGAAATAAGCTTTGGGCCGCTCTGCATGCTAGCAGGCAGGGAATCACAGCTCTCTCAGCTCAGTGTTGCCCTTTTCATGCCAGCGGCCTTGATAAGGACCCAGGCGCAAAGGGGCACCGCAGTTAAGAATCCCACATTTGCTGGTGGGCAGCCACTGACATATGCAGGACAATGATCTTTGTTGGACCCCCAAAGAAAGTAGCTGCCCACAGCATATTTCATTTCATATTCATTTGTTTGTATATTTGTTTACTTAATTTATATCCTGCCCATCTCCTCAATGAGCCACTCTGAGCAGCTTACAAAGACTAAAAGGATAAATATGACAATAGTGAAAATTGTACCCACTGTGTAAAATACATGTAGGAGGGATCCCCTTTTTTGAACTGAATGAGCGAGGCCTGTCTGCACCCCCTGCAAGCAAGGAGGCAACAGGGGGTTGTTGGCCCAGCCAAGGCTGGGTTCTTCTCCCGGCAATTGGAGCCAATGGGGATGTTGGGAGGAGAAACCAAGGCTGAGCGCTGCATTTCTGCGCAGAGGAAAGAGAGGGCTGCTTGTGACCCAATTGCAAATCCAGTGTCGCTGCTGGTGTTCAACAAGGTGTTTTTATACTAGTGGTGAGTTCCGGATCCCCTTGCAACCGGTACGGTGCAACGGAGCCGGGCATCCACCACATACACGAGCACAGCACACGCGCAGCACACACATGCATACTTAGGCCCCCAATGCTCCAGCTGCTTGGTGGAGCGTCACGCAGGCGCAGTACACTCCATTCGCATGCACGAAAGCCCCGATCAGCTCAAATAAAAGGTAAGGAGGGCGGGTGGGCCCTCCAGAGCACCATACCGGGTTGAGTTTCAGGATGTTACCCCCGGGGATGTGGACAAGGCCATGAGGGCTGTAAGTGCCTCCACCTGTGTACTGGACC